TGATCCCAATATCCCATACTACAATTGATTCCTATTTCCTATAGACTATAGGTAGTTAAAAATAGGTAAGTGTTAAGTAGAAAAAATGATAACGTTAACATAAACACTAGGTATACATCATCTCAATACCGTTTCAAAAATGTGTAAGACCTTTTCATTTATTTTAGATTATGAAGGCTGTTGTTGGTTTGGAAAGATGGTGTTTGTGTAAAGGTCATTATAGCTGTCCTGTTGTCGCTAACTTTGTATATGCATCAAACTTCGAAGAAGAGATTGAGGAATTTCGTAAGTATAATATTTAAAATCATACATATACGCAATTTCAAGAACAAGAAATAGTTATGGACCAAAAAATATAAATTTTCCCCCAAAAATAGCTCACATTGTAGACACGATTACTATAGTCATAACAATAATAATATCTCCACATATTCAACAGATATCTGTCCGAATATAAGTTAAAATAATAATCAGCATAATTATGTTACGTGTGTGGTGTTGATGTTTACGGTTTTTAAATAATTTGTTTGTAGTGTTGATGTAGGTACCTAATACCTACATCTATATACTCTATCTCCAGGCGCAGATATAGAAAATAAAAAGGGAGGCGCTAGACGAAAAAATGTATTTCAAGTACATAAAAGTATATTAGTTTTTATAGTGAATAAAATATACATCATACATGCATATTATTATCAAATAAAAAAAACAACAAACTTTAATAAGAAAATTACCTTTTATTGCCTATGTTTCATATATAATATATTATTATACTTATTCACCCATTTAAACTATCATCGATACTCAATACTACAATAACAGTGAACTGTGTCTGTATAGGTACATAATATAGTTAAGTAAGTATGTAATATTATTATATTAGATGTTAGATGAATAAAGTTTTCCTTTTTCTATAAAAAAAATTCTTATATTAGAAGAAATACAACTATTATAATACTGTCCCGATGACATTATAGTCTTTAGTTGTAGAGGACTCACCACCCTGACAAAAACCGGTTTGTTGCCGTTTTACCTATAAACTAAAAAAATGATTCAAAATCATGAGATTGAAGAAAATAAAACTTTGAAAAGACAAAATTTTCAGAAAAATAAACCCTATATATGGGTATTCTCAATTGTTTCAAAAATAAACCAAAACTTTACCAAAAGATTAAATTTAATTAAAAATAAAATATATGTAGTCCTTGTAGTCTAATAAAAAAACAGATTTAAGAGTTTATGACATATTTATTATTTCAGGAGATATCACAATGGGGAAAACCTCGCTGAATACCCTGTTTGTTGTAAATAATTTTTTTATATAAATAAGTTTGAATTTTACATTAAATATTATTGGAATTATTTAATAAATAAGTATTATACTATTATGTAGTACCTACCTATTTGTTTTTACTAAATATTTGGATAAATTATGTACTCGGTTACAGTCTTATGTCATTTCGGTGAGTATTGGAGTCACGCGTACATAACAACATCAACGATTTTTGATGTATTGGTGATTATTGCTGCTCTTAACCGAGTAAGATAATACAAATTTGAAATTTACAACATATTTATTATAATAATCTTTACCATCAAAAATAAAGATTAAAGGGTATATTAATAAATAATAATACAGATATTATATTACAGGTAAAGGCAATATAAGTATATTATCATTTATTTGGTATAATATTATTGATTACTAACTAGGTATATACCGTGTAAAAATGGAAAATATATTTAATTTCATACCATAGTTAAAATTGATAAATTTATTAATTAGGTATTCGTGTATTAATATTAAAATAATAATATAATATAATATAATATAATAATTCATCAATGGTTCCATCAATGGTTGGCCTCCCCCTTCATATTATTCAAAGTTAAACATGTACATAAATTATCCAATTTACTTATTGTGATGTCAAACAGATTGTAAACATCTAATGATAATAAAAAAAAAAATATATTAATCATAGACATATTAATATGTCTATGATATATTGATATTAATATATTGTTATATAATAGGTATATAATATACAATAGATATATTATTGTATATTATATATTTATATGGTTATTAATTATTTTGCCAAAAATTGGGGCTATATAACAAGGGAACTGTATAATGGGCACCTACAGTATTATAGGTAACCTATATTATATTTGACGTACCTACCCACTTATATATTATACATATCTTATTCTTATATAACTATGTATATTGTTTAGCTACTGCAATAATAATAATATTATTATTTATTAATTATTACTTTATAATATACGTATTAATACAATATTCCAATTATTAAATTTTTAAATTAAAATTTCAGAATTACCGTCAAATGGTGTCCCTGTGGCTTTTTATCAAAGCCTTTGCTTGGCTAGTGAAAGCTATTTACGTAGTAAAGGATTTTTGGATATGCAATAAAGAAATAAGTGCCTTACAATTGGTGGTTTTAGGTATGTAAATTGTTTTTAAGAAATATGAATAAATACCTAATTACATACCTAATACATACCTAAATAAATACCTTATTACAATTATAGATACCTAATTTATGTATTACTCTAAAAAGTTTTTGGGTCTATAATACCTAGTTTAGGCAACCAGTCCCCTCCTCCACCTACCCACTCGGGCCGTATAAAATAATGTACCAACGCCGGGTAGCACTTAACATTTAATGAATCAACAGTGAGCTAATGATCCCTAAAACTTGTTTTAGTGGTTGGTCCATTAAATTGAACTGAACCATTAAATTTAATCAATTTTTCATGCAACATATGGTAAAACTGTATAATTTATTTTAATATGGATATAAATTATCAATTAATAACAATTTTATGATCGTTTTGCTTTATGATAACGTAACGTTTGGCACATCAAACAAAATATTATCCCTACAGCAACACCTTAAAAATACTCTGGTTCCGTTTATAAACCTGATAAAATTAGAACATTTTAAATATTACCTATCGCTGTGGCACAAACAGGATAAAAATGTCAGGAGGCTTAAATCCAATTATAGAAAATCCATGGCAAACAAATTTTTGTTATTAGTTGGATATTGTTTTTCGGTGGCTTACATACCTAATAACTTGAGGGAACTTAAAGAAAAGGCCACCCACTACCTATTTAGTCTTAATTTTAAATCATTACAAATAAATGTTATTATAAAGTATCTAAACATTCTAAACGAAACATTTAAAGGTATACTATACTACTTACGTATTTACGTACATATACCATTAATATCGAAAATATTACCATTAAATAAAAATAATCAATTTGAGTTTCCCCATACATATTTTATATAAATAATTGACATATTTATATTAATATACATTTTAACTTTTTTAGTAAACACCTTATACAGTTGGTACTATGTGTATACGTGGAACCATACACATAGAAGTTAGTTTAACTTAGTGTATAGGTCTATGCGTGGAGCTCAAGACAAAAGTAAATATGAACATAAAATCAGAACATTTGGTCATAGTGTAATACGATATACGAATCATTAGTATACAGTATTACAGTAATACAGTAGGTACATACTGAACACTTACCTATTGAAATCGTAATATAATAAAAATTAATGAATTACATATGAAATATGATGGAATTTTTTTTTTTAAACAAAATATTTGTTAAATTTAGAGGTATAAAAGTATTAATCAAGTTTAAAGCCCACGTGAATTTTTTTTTTTTCGGAAACCTATGCAACCAGTTAAGAACGGTGGTGCAAAAATTAATTTCCAGAAATCATGATTTTATGATAATATAGCCTTACAAAGTTCACAATTGTTGGTGTTGTAAGCACACGCACAGCGCTTATAGTTTACCATGCTTATAACAAATTTTCAATTTTTTTTTTTTGAAACCTAGGTAAATTATGGTGTAAATATAATTCTGACACCCATCCGTGGTGGTTTTACATAACAATTCGAGGAATGTTTTCGACTTTAAATTTTCCGAGCAAGCTAAGTGATCGAGTGACCACCCCTCTGGGTGTATATGAGTATAGGTACCAAAAATGTAAATTAGCTAGAACTTTAAAATAAGTCTGACCACCAAATTCAGACTTCCCCATCATTTTCGGCTGGATTTAGAGGGGAGCAGGGTGGGGCCCACAAAATAAGTACATTTTTCCGTAAGTTTACAGTTAACTACACAGGTACAGTTAGAACAAAAAAAAAATGAAAAGAAAAGTTGTTTAGTAGAACATAAAAGTTCCAAGCGGGCGGTAAAATTTTGCGTTGTACGAATGCGTGTAAGACACCGAATACCGAAAATCGTGAACTTTGTAAGGTTACCTTATTAGTGAACTGAAAAAAGCCCTATACACCCAAATCCGTATTTTAACACTTTTATAGTTATATATAAAAAATTAAAAAAACTAATAAATTAAAAAATAAAAACACATCATTATAAAATCAATACATTCATGGCTCTGCTCAGAATCTAAAATTTTTAAATAAGATAGATATAAAAAATGTTTTTATATCAATATTGTTTACAATTTGAAAGTTTTGTTTTATTTCTAAGAAAAATGACAATATATAAGTGTTTTTTCTATTATTATCTTTAATTGTTAATTTTTTCTATATAGTACCAAGAAAAAAAACTGCATAATAGGTATAGATATTAGATTATAGATGTAAATCATAAATAATAACAATCTCAGCAAGGAAATGTTGAAACATGGTTAACACTTGACTTTTTGTTTAAAATAATTTTTAATAGAATGTTCATTCTCTTATCTCTAATATTATAATTTAATCCATCATGCACAATAATTGGAATATACATTCATTTATAATGCATATTTTTAATATAATAAACTATCATTCTTTAAAGGAACATTAGGAAACTAAATATTATAATAGTCAAACAATTAATTTAACATTATATAAAGTATATTATTTATGATTCTACAACTTAAAAGGTTTAAAAAAAAGTCTTTATGTACTATGTAAATGGTAATGTTTTATGCATTGGCATTTTGTTGAGCAGTAATCACATGTTCATTCATAATCAATTGATACTCCTGAAACCTTTGTGTCATTCTTTCAGAAGCTTTAAGAAATTTGCTTGTACAATTTTCAGCACACCTTACCTAAAATACAACATTTTTATTTAATTAAACACACATTTCATAGAAAAAGTTCAATGCATAAATCAATTTATTATATTTATTAGTAAACTAATATGTAATTTATATAATATAAAAAACCATTATTGAAAGAAATTTAACTTACTTCTTCACTTTTAAGATCACCTATTGTAAAATCTGTTGCACAATCCATAAAACATAATTCTGTTAATTTATTATATGACTTAAATATTTCTTTAACCTGAAAAAATAATAATATTGAAATAATTAGTGAGTTACTATATAATTTTATTGTTAAGGTTTAAAGATCTAAACAGCATAGGTATCAATCATGCATTTTGTTACAAAACAGTATTGAACTTAAATCAATGAATTTTCTACCAAGTCATTATTGACATAGTATGCGTTAGGGTGACCAGACGTCCAAACGTCCCACATTGTTGGGGTAGGGGCTATCTCACTTTTGATTTTACAATGATGTGTTTTGTTTTTTTTTTTAAATTTTTTTTGTGTCTGTCATCACCTTTTAGGACAGTAAAAGTGCTTGGATTTTCTTCAACAGTATCTTTTCTGAGAGGAAAGTGAATCTAGTTGGAACTTTCAGGGGTCAAAAGTAAAAATTTCCCAGTAATTTTCAAAAACAAAATAAAAATGAAGGAAAAACAGGAATTTTTACGTAAAATCTGTTTTTGAGAAAATCGATTTTGGTTTTTGGTGCAACTCTAATACAAATGTTAACTCTAAAGTCTAACTAGTCTAAGACAAATTACCGTAGGCCGTAGATCCATGAAATTTTTACTGACTGTTTATATTAGCATTTTCTATACACCATGCATTTTTTAAAATATTTTAACTTATTTTGAGCTGTTAAGGGACATTTTCAGTTTCCAATTTGTTAATTTTTTATTCTATAAATATCAATACAATATTATTTGTTGGGTACAAAAGCTTGAAAATTTAATAGAAGGCTTCTACTAAATTGTTACAATAGTAGTTCAAAAAGATTAAAAATCCTTATTTACAGTTTAAGCATTTAAAGTTCAAAACTTGACAAAATACGGAAAAATCGCAAAAATTAGCAAATTATTTTGATTTGAGAATTACTAAAATTTTTTCTTTTTAAATCTAAGATTTGAAAATGTAATACAAGATTACTCATAAGTTTATCTACCTTTATCAAAAAAAAAAAATGTCTACAAGCAAATCAAATTAAATTTTTATGAGCCTTTGAAGTTCATATTCTTACAAGTTTGGATATTCACTCGATTTTTCATGTAGCGGTTTTATTATTTTATTGTTATTCAAAAACGAATAACTGTAAATACATGAAAATTTTACTGCATGTTTATATTTTCTTTTTCTATACACCAAAACAATTTGAAAATATTTTGACTCTTTTTGAGTTGTTTACGGACATTGACAGTTTTCAATTTTCTTAGTTTTATTTTCTATAAATATCAATAAAATTTTATTTGTTGGGTAAAAAAGCGTGAAAATTTAATGCAAGGCTCCTGATATATTGTAACAATAGAAGTTGAAAAATATTAAAAATACATAAAAACAATTTTTTTTTACAAGCATTTAAAGTACGAATTTTGACATATTCATCATATTTAAAATTAAATAATTATTTTTTAGTTAAAAATTTATAAAATGTTCAACTTTTATAGCCAAGGATTGAAAATTTAAAACAAGGTTCCACGTAAATAGGTAAATATATAAATTACTTTATTCACAATAATATCATCAAATATACTTAGTAATAACTAGACTGACTGACCGTTTTCGCTCAGAATCGTTTTTCTTATACAATGATATTATATCATTGAATTCAAATTTAATACCATCCATTATGAAGTGACCCACTTGTAACCTACCGTACAGCAGAGCACCTTTTTAAATCTGCAACCCCCCCTTTTCAAATTGTCCCGCTTTTGTCTAGCATTTACAAATATTATTTTTATTTAATTTTCTACTATGTAAGGTTTTAGTTATAAAATGTATAAAATATTATGTTAAATATGTGATATGTGATATGTGATATGGGTCATATGTAGTTGCCACATAGGATTCTCCTTGGTATGTCTGGACAGTGACTCAAAGGAAATATTTCTTTTACTATGAATATAATGAAAGTATAAATGTACATACCTAAACTTACACACATAAACTACATCAAATTTATTTGTAAAATGTTTAGACACTATACCTAGTTATAATATAAATTGAGATTTGAGCAAAAGTTAAATAGTAATTATATGTATAATAATCTAAAAAATATGTTATATTAATTATTATATTTATATGAAAAAAAATCTCAATATCAGAAACATATTTTTAGTATATAGTATCTACAAAAATAGAATTGATGTAAGAATCATGTAATCCATGAATTGGACAGGTATTTAAAACTAAATTATTGATCTTTAGAATATACATATGGATCAAATTGGTTAGACAGATAATAAATTAAATATATTTGTTACAAAACTTAGTACTTACACTGGCCAGTTGAGAAGCATCAAAATCCATATTAGGGTCAGTCACATTTGCATTTGCGTTTTCCATTATAATGTTGAGTGTCAGTTGACAGTTATTATAAAATATAAATTATAGTATCTGTTCTAATATGGAAACGAATGAATCAAAATAAAATAGGCAACAAAAATGTGGATTATATTTAAAAATTGATTTTTTTTCAATTGTACGATAAATATAAAATATAAATTATAAAAGATAAAGTACTATCTGTCATCTGTGATACTATCATGTATTCACACCTCGTGAATAGTCGTGATTAAACATTATCAACATTGTATAACCATTAGTTCAATGTGTATAACATTTATATTTTCAGAGAATAAATTTCTCAAAACGAAGTGGATCGACACGTATCGGTTCACTAACGTTTCATGTTTAATTGATTAATTCATGTGCGGTATATTTCTTCTTGAATAACATAATATATATAATATTATATTATATATATTGTTCGATGATAATATTCCATGTACATTAATGATAATTTAGCTATTTTAATTTAAGTTCTTACAAACTGTCAGCACTGGTTAAGTTTTAGAGGTTAAAATTACATTTTAATCGATATCTATCGATTTTATAAAGGTAATGATGAGTTATTTAATTGAGAAAAAGTCAATAATAAATGTTTATTGGGCTTAAAATAAAACCTTAACTATTTGCATTTATTTAAATCAATAAAATAATATTTAGAGCAGGCAATAATTATGAAAATAATTATTTAAACAACTTATTCAAACATCGATAAGTTATCTCTTTTGTCGATTGTTTTGATATCACTGTAGTCCGCGTTGCATATTGTTTTCTTTCGGTCTCCGCAGTCCGCGTTGGATGTGAAATTATTGAAATATTATAATATTATAATTAAAATAACCACTACGTTTTTCAAGACGTTGACTAGTGACCACAAAACAAATCATGGTAAGTGTTATTATATGAAATAACTAAAAAATAATTTAAAGTTAAGTTTTATGTCAGTGTTAAGATCTAAGCGATACTCGCACGGCCTAACCTCCATAGCATCTTGCCACATGGTTTTTTGGTATGAACGCCGTTTCTATTTGACATTTTATTGATGTTTTCATAGCACATAATTATTCCTGTTTCACCGTTTAACATGTATCTTATTTACGATATCTGATCAAATACTAATTTTTCAATATCGTGTTTTATTAAAATTTTTTTTTTTATTAACTTAAAAATCAGGTAGGTGAGTAGTTAGTTACAAAAATAGTTCTGTAGTAGCTCTAAAATATTTTGAATGCTACTATGTTTTATAATTTATATTTCAAAATCAATATTGATAGTAATTTGCTTGTGCCACCTAAATAGATTTAAACATAAATAATCTTTAGTAGGCATTCCATAATTTTAATCTTTTGTGTATGTTTGTGACTTGTGTAGAAATTATAAATAACATAATAATTAATACATTTATGATTTATTGAATGAAATGTAATATTGAAAAATTATTGATATGCTTGGGTAGGTAGGTACTTAATTTATATTGTTTTAACTATCTAATGATGAACCTTACACACTGATAATTTAAGTGATTGTATATTAAGGGACGTAATTCTGAAGATTTAATAATTGTTTAAATAGGTATATAATATTGAGAAAAATTTAGTGATGAATCTTACGTACTGATCATTTTAGTGATTGTATATTAAGGGACGTAATTCTGAAGAAGTAATAATTTTTAACATGTAAGTTATCTTGATAATAATTTAATGATGAATCTTACGTACTGATCATTTTAGTGATTGTATATTAAGGGACGTAATTCTGAAGAAGTAATAATTTTTAACATGTACCTAGGTTATCTTGATAATAATTTAATGATGAATCTTACGTACTGATCATTTTAGTGTGATTGTATATTAAGGGACGTAATTCTGAAGAAGTAATAATTTTTAACATGTAGGTTATCTTGATAATAATTTAATGATGAATCTTACGTACTGATTATTTTAGTGAATGGATATTAAGGGACGTAATTCTGAAGTAAAAACTGTTTGGTTTGTTAAAAAACACTTAATCATCAGTTAGGTAATTATTATGAAGTCTTGATTTTAAATAAATGAGATGAGTCAATTTTGAGTTATACTCATTACCCATAACAATTTATAAGTTAGGTCCTAGAAAGAGTATTTAACTTACCTAAGTAAATTTACTATTTTGTAATGTAAATTATAATTCCATAATGAGAGTGAAATAGAAATATGTACATAGAATACAGACAACAAGTGTGAAAGAAGCATGTTCTGATATTAAATTAAAAACCAATAGTTTAAATGATATTGGGTGAAACTAAAATTCCACCTTATCCTCTAGAAAACAAAACTATACTATTTGACTCAAAAACTGTCCTTATTGTTTTGTTCTTGTTATGAAAAGTCACACTTAGTTATTTTTTGGAATATTGTTATGTAGAGGTTTTTAGTAATACATTTTTTTTTTTTTTTTTAGCCGCAAGAAATTAAGGAAATCAAAGATTTCCTTCTGAAGGCTAGAAGGAAGGATGCAAAATGTAATATTTGTATTCTCTAAATAATGTAATATTACTTAAATGTATTTAATTTTAATATTATTCTTATAGCTGTCAAGATTAAGAAGAACATTGAAAATGTTAAATTCAAGGTCCGTTGTTCTCGATTCCTTTATACCCTAGTAATCACAGACAAGGAAAAAGCAGAAAAACTTAAACAATCATTGCCACCTGGTAAGATATTAAATTAAATATTATTGATTCATAATATTAATTTATATAATTGTTTATTGTAGGTCTTCAAGTGAAGGAGATCAAATGTAAAAAAATGAACACTGAAAATAAAGAGAAAAAATTATAAGGTTTCTGTGGATTAACGTTTATATAAAATATAATTAACTTTATTACATGTAAATTTTATATTCTTTTTTCTTTAAGTTCCTTATTATTTATCGACTATGAAAGTATACTCTGTCCCACTAGAGAATAATTAGTCCGCCGACCAATTCTCATCAGTGCCGCTCATCCCCCACCAACTACCCGGTATTAATGTGATCACGTGGTTCTCGACATACCAATCAAATCATTTGTGATGCTCGAAAAGTAATTATTCTCTTGTGTGACAGTATAGAAAAAAGGATAAATGTGTGGTATACATTTGTAATATTTGTAAATATTCATGAGGGATGTTACCCAACCAATACCCAGATTTAGGGAAGTGTTCTACTAGGAATTTGCTATGTGAAGTTATTTCACTTAAAAATTTGTTTTAAATTGTAATTTTTCTACTATTGTGTTAGTGCTGGTAACACCATTAAGCATTGATTAAATATATTTAATCAATGCATTAAGTTACTAGTTAGCATAAGTGATTATACATTGTAGGGTTTATTATTAATTGTTATTAGCATTTATCACTATTGATTTTGTAATTTTCTTTTATGTTATGATCTAGATATAACAATATTTATCGTTTTGTTCAGTAATTACAGTTTTATTAAATCAAATTTGATAATTTAAAAAAAAAACCTGATGAGCGAAAAATGTAGACATAGATATACTTTGTTCTCGTCTTTAATAGTCCATTTACTCCAATATTAGAAAAATGAAAAACACATGTACTTTAAATTAGCTTTCTAGTGCATTGGTGGCTACACAACGTATAGTCTCTTTAAAGTTTTTTTTTTTTTTAGTATATGCTCTAAAGTTTAAATTCATGATAATATGCAGGTAAACTTAATAGAATTTTCAGTGACAAAAACAAAATCTTCTGTAATTATTTGTAATTTGCATAGTATTTGTTAAATAATATCAGCCATTAGGTGATTATCAAAAAATATTCTGAACCAACAACAATACTGTCTATGTGCATATTTATGTAATTTTTCTGAATTTAAATTTCCGAAAATAGAAATTGTCTAAGATGTGTGGCTTTATTCCTTTTACGTTTTCATAATTTTTGTTTGAAAATGCATTACAATAAAATATATCTACAAATGACAATATTCTAAAAAAGCTATTAAGCACTTGATATTTCAGTAGTATGTATTTGTAATCTGATAATCTGAGAAACTCATAAAAAAGGCCACAAGCAGTCTTGTTAAGAATACTTTTCAAATGTATTTAAATACTTGGTGTAATTTGTATTTGAAATACGTATTCAAATACTTTCTTTTAAAAGCATTTAAATATAAATACAAATACCTTTTAAAAGTATTCAAAATACTTTATTTTAAAATCAATAAATGAATAATTAATAATCAATAATTCAATCAATTTAATGACTAGTCGACTATAACCACTACTAGAGTACTAGACATGTCATGAAGTACTATTATTGATTATTTTCTTTAATCAAGCCAACCAAACCATTTTATGTATCCATCCATCTATTGTCCTTATTTTAAAAATATTTTATACAGATTTTAGTATTTTACATATTAAAATAAATATTACAAAAAAAAAAGTTCAACAACATTATTACCAAAATCTTATATTCAAATTATAAACTACTACCACAGTACCACCCATTAAATAAAAAGGAAGACTATTTAAAGATTCAAGATAAATGCCAATCCAACCAGTGGTGGTCAGTGTCTTGTATGCCATGGTATAATATGGGAGTGAGAAGCTGATAGGGGTTTCAGTGTTCAGTCACTCTGTTATCTGCTTGTAATTTGATGAAACCTTATTTATTAATGATCAGATGTTAGAACAATTTTAAAATAATATTTTAAATATTATAAACAAAGTTTGAAATAGTACATTCCGAATTATTAGTAATTGGAATTTGGAGTAGACCACTAGAAGGAAAAAAAGTATTTAGTATTCTAGAACAAAAATATGAATAAAAAGTATTTTTTAAGTATTTAAAATGCATTAGAAAAAAATTATTTGAATACTTAACAAGACTGGCCACAAGTAATAAATTATTTCGAGCTTAGATCATACGCAAACCATGTACTACAGTCTCAGACAGTAAAATTACCAAATTTGTTAATGTTTATGCCACATTTTTACCCAAACGTTAAATCCGAAAATAAATAGACCGTACTTCACTGGAAAAAAAATAAATACACATAACGTAGAGGTAGGATGCTAGAATTAAGGAAAAATCAATAATATTGATTAAAATGTATAAACAACCATGTTAAACATGACAGTGGTGATTCACTATATATTATTTTTCTAGTGAAAGTCGCTACTCAAATTTTTACTACTAAATGATCTACAAAATATATTTGACAAATACTATCAACATTTGAAGCAAAAAGCTAAAATACTAACTATAAGCAATAATTCTTTTAAAAAGTGAAATGTTCGAAATATTTGAGAAAAACTTTCAACAACACAATTTTATGTATTATCCTTTAGTAAGACTGAGACATCACATGTAGGTATAACCAGTGGCGCAACTAGAACTTATGGTGCCCTAGTAACAAAAATTACTTGGTGCCCTACAATATATTATTTTCTTTATATATTTATATTTTATAGTATAGACTAGCCCTTGGTCTAGCCGGGGGAGACCCCCGGACCCCCCAGTGTTTGTTTGTAAGTGAGTACCGATTTCGGAGACAATGTCGTTGGAATTATAAAAATCACAAGGGTTGTAAGTCAAAAGTTTAGGATTAGTGATATGTAGGGCAGAGGACTTGTAGCATTTGCATATTTTTTTTGCACAGTCACAAAAATAGCAGAGTGCGAAACAAATACGTTACATGCTTCCACAAAGATAGTTTTAAAAATCTATTGTGCATAGAAATGCATATTTTGCAATTTTTTGGTTTTTAGGGCATATTTCTTTCATTTTATACTTTTAGATGCATATTTTAAATAATTTATCATTTTATCAATATTTTTAGTAGACGTTTTTATTTATTTATTTTTACAACCAAAATAAAGTTGAATTTAAAATTATTTAAAATTTTGATCATTATATGATCTTTCACTTTCTCCGGAACCTATAAATACAAGGTAGGGGGATTGTGGGTAAAAGCCGCATGTTAGTATTGTGAACACCAATAAATATAAACCACTATAAAAATAATTGAAGAAGTTTTTTAAAATTAAATCAAGCACCCGGTACAGTGGGTAAATTATTCAAGAGAACATGAATATTTTAGAGAAAAATAAAAGTTAGCAAATATTGGCTCAAGTGTCAAGAATTTTATCTGGTGAAGAAACTTCAATTATAGTCAGAATACCTGAAATCTTGAGCCTTGGTGATTTAGAATATATTAAATATGGTCCTATAAATTCTGTTGATGTTGAACGTTTTTTTTCAATGTTCAAAGTGCTGTAAGCTGACAATAGAAAAAGTTTTCAATTTGAAAATTTGAAAAAACATCTTATTTTTCAATATAACTTCCAATGCAAAAATGTGTGTTAGTCTTAAATATTTGAAACAAAAATATTTTGTCAATTGTTTTATAGTAGTTGAAGAAGTAGAAAGTTGAAAGTTTTGAAGAAGTATCCAGATGAGAAAACATCAAATAAACCAAATAATTATTCAAATAATTTATTGTAACTTGTAAGTTGTTAAAGTTGTAAATACAATTTATTCATTAAAATAATAGAGAAGTACCTACCTACAGAAAACTTTTTGTTTTTCGTTAAAAAATATTCATTTTTAAATGCATATTTATAATGCATATATTTTATATTTGAGTGCATATTTGGTGATTTTTTAGAGCTACAAGTTCTCTGCCCTAGTGATATGGATTGGAGATAAGGCTTGGCGTATTGGCAGGAATATTTTAAAGTTTGATCGTCTAGCAATCCGTCACAAACATTGTAAATAGATACGATCTCCGGGATCTCTAGTCAGCTGCTTTTGGTTGTTGAAATTATTAAAAATTGTAGTATCGATATGTGTATTTGATTGTCTAGCTATCAGTCATCAAATCACATAGGTAGGTAATCCGACTGCGGCGGATCGCGGACAATATGTGAAGCGTATATTACCAGGTATGCAATCTTCCTGCGGTTGGTGTAATACCGTGCCCCGTTGTATGTCCTGTTCTGTTTTGTTGACTTTATAAGAAATTAGGAATTGCGAATAATTGTAATGGAATGTCTAGCTATCAATCGTCGCTGTATGGAAATCTATGAGTTATAGGGCATTTGTGTATGGCGGATTGGATACATAACCCGGGAACAATTGCAGTTTAGCTCCCCCACGCTATTTTGAATTTTTTTTATCGAAACTTATGTAACTTATCGAGTTAAGAACGATGGTGCAATCAAAATTTGTCGCTCTCACTTTGTTTCGAAGTTATGGCCTTCCAAAGTTTTGAATTTTCGTTTGTATGCATGCGCGCAATACTACCTACTATATTACCGCGCGGAGGACCTCAACAGTGATTACACAGTTTGGGGCGCTCGTCGCTGCGCTACTCGGCGCCGTCGCTGCGCTCTGTAAATAGAAAATATCCCCCGACTTGCTATGCAACACCACTTTAAGTAGGTTACAGGGAAAGTAAAAAGTTATGTCGTAGTATATGCCGTATATGGGCAGTATTATACAGTTTGCGGCACTCGTCGCTGGCTCCGCAAATCAAAAATATCTCCCGACTTGCTATGCAATACCACCTTAAGTAGGTTACAGGGTAAGTTATTTCGTAATACAGTGTTACACAGTTTAAGTATAAAAACAACTAAAAAAGTTCTCCGGTCGCCAAACTCGAGGTCCTCGTGCGGCATTAGTAGTGTTGCGCGTATGCGTCTAAATCGTTAGCTTTGGGAGGATAAAACTTCGAAATTAAGTGAGAGCGACAAATTTTGATTGCATCATCGTTCTTAACTCGATGAGTTACATAAGTTTCGATAAAAAATTTCAAAATGGCGAGGGGGAGCTAA